AGGTCGAATAGTTGTTTCTGATCGAGCATTGTTAATTGAGATAATTAATAACAAGGCGAGAGTAGCAACAGCTTGTGAGATCATCATTTCTTACTTGTGTTCTGGACGAAAAAAATGAACAAGTAAAGTAGCTGCTCTTTGCTCTGTTGCTCTCAGTTTTCATGTACTTGAATTTCGTATTAATGAAAAGTAAACAAGAAAAGTACCATTGCCTAGAGACGAACAATAAAACACAAGTGTCATTGTTTTGTGTTAATAATAATATACAACAAAGTCATCTACAACAACAATGAAAGTGCAAAGTTCCCCACACTCTCTCATTGTTCTACCTGATCATAGCATTAGCTAAAAGATCAGACTCTTTTTCTCATATTTCCGTAAGTAAGATGTAAATAAGAACAGCTATTTTGTGTATTAATCGCTGAGAGCAAATATTTTCACAAGATGTGCAGTTGGGCGTCGGCGATTCTATTTGTGTGTCAGGAATTTTGCCACTGCTTGGTCTTGCAAAAATATGAGAACTTTATAAAATAAGTTTTTTATGCTGAATCAGAAAGAGTACTATTAAAATTTTAAAAAACGAGAAGTATACTTATTATTGCTGAGTTTTTTCAACATGTTGTTGTCAGAAAATGAATATGTTGAAATGTTTTGATAGGAAAATGTGATGCGAAAGGACAGGCTTGATACTTTGCTATATAAGTGCACGAGCTCTATCCAACCGTGGTACAACATAGGAAATCCTGGTTAAGTTTTGAATACTATTACCTTACATCAATCGAATTTCTTTCAAGGTAACTCCTAGTGACTCAACTTCCACTTGTTGAGTAAAATTTGTGTCATGAACATAGTCTACGGTGGAAACTCGACTTGGTAGAAATAAATGATGGTTTCAAGGACGCTGAATATGGTTACTATAGATTACTTGTGTGTTTTTTCATTCAAAGATTACTTCATTTCGTTTTACACAGAGTGCAATAAAATGTAAAAAAATCAAAGACAATTGATTTTTTCGTCAATTGTTGACATTACATACGAACAAAACAGAAAAGAAATAATATTTTATACGTAACATTCTGAAAAAACGAAAACGAATACCGTTATTCGCTGTGCTCATCACATCTCTAGTTTTAGCCAACGGTCATTGATCTTAGATAAACGTCACTTGTTTATATTAAGAAAAAACATAAAGATGTATGATTAAACAACTACAGAATCAAAAATAAAACTGCGCATGCAAACTATTCTTGAAATGTTTTTCTTGCTCCTGCTAGATCGGAAAGATCTTCACTGTGAAGAAATATTTCTTATATTCCCATCTTCTTTCTTTCAATTCCAAGGCAAAGACATAAAACATTCTGTCCATTAGAGGCTCACCTTATTTTCTGCTGCATTGAGCTTAAGTAGAATGCTCTATAGTTATAGATCTCCTACTAGTGTGCTTCGAACGTGTAGAACATCCTGATGAACAAAACATAGCGTGAGACTTGCCTCTTCTTCGACAAAACGCTGAATTATATAAAATCTACTATTTCATCGTATACCGATGACTTAAACGGGATCACGTTTCGTCACTCCAAGATACTTCTCAACTTCAAAAAAACACCCGCGTTGTTTCTGTGACATTTGTGTAAAACTGTTTTCTCAACTTTTTCTATTTAAACATGAATATTCGATGTTCCAGAGGTAACTTGCACAGTGTTGGTAGCTGTGAAAACATACCGACCATTTCTGATTTACATATAGACTTTACATGATGCTAAGTCGTTGTATCTAAGTAAAACCTGTAGAGAACGAAGTAGCGATTCTTAGTTATTTTACCACGAATACCACGGCTAATATATGAAGCTGTTGGTAAATTCGATGATTCTAAACGCAGCTAGTTTCCATTAAACATTTGAGTGAACAGCGGTGTAGAAGCGATGCAGTGTAACGGTAGGACACCATCAGTAAAAATCATGAATTATTAGTTTATTGCACAACTGTCTTTAATAGTGTGGTCGTTATAGTGTACTGCTCTTTCACTGATTTTTTCAATGTTTTAGACGACTTTTACGAAATTTATCAGCTTCAGATCTCGGAACTTGATAAGAAATAATATTGGCCATTTTCTACGCACGTTCACTGTTCAACGCTAAACTGTTGACTTGAGTTCTATCCCTACGTGCGTGTTTCATATGTTCTCTGTAAATATTTTGTGCGAACGTCTTAATCAGTGCGACGTCATGTTAGACATTATTCAACATACAGTCATTATAGAGCGGCACACCATGCTTAGATTTCCCTCTGCCTCACTGTACAATGTTGCGGTCTACCTCACCGCATCGTAGCATCCTCTACGTATTTTCATTCATTCTTCCGTGCACAGACATACAACATATGATGACGATTTATATATTTGACTATCGAACGTATCAAAAGTCGTTTTCAAAAATGACGGAAGCTAAAATTTATAAAAGAAGAGGGAATCGTCGAGCTCATTTTGGTTTTTTATTGCAACGTGTTACTAATCATATACCGAGAAGTAAAAAAACATGATTGACTGGAGGTGGTATTTTGTATCAGATAATCTTGTTGCTTTTCCTTCTTGATCAGAAATGAATAATTAAAGTTTATTTATTAGACAAAGCTGCATTAACATACAAAAGCAATGATGAAGAGAATCGAAGTGCGAAGTTTGCGAGTTAAATAATGTACTACTTCAATAGTTCGGGAGGTTAATAATGTATTAGTTCGATAGTTTTCCTTGTACATTCAATTCAAAATTTCCATACGAACATGAGTCAAATGCTGACACGATCACCAAATAGGTTCCTTCATCCAATGTCCAACTCAACAGTGCTGCATTACAATTTTTTCCTTCATCTGCTTGTCCGCCATCATCATTCGACGCTAAAACCTGAGACATTGGCATGTCGTCCATGGGAGATGCGAATAATGAAAGCACTGGATCAGCCATGCCGGACGTTTTCCATCTTTCACAACGAACGTTCGTATTAGCTTGAATTGTGACATCCGTTTTGGAACTGAGAGTGATGCAAAAAGCGACAGCCTTACTGTCAACACGAAGCGATGTGGATGTGCCGAGACCATATGTCTGGTTACAGTTTGGTTCGTCAGACATACTCATAGTCGTCTGTTGAGGAGGAACGGATGGTTGAGAGAACATTTACAAAGGATGTGCGCAAGACATGAGAGCCTAGCAAGAAGTCATTTTCATTATCCGCCTTCAAGAAACTAACCACATTGGATTGACCTTCGACTTCTGTGTGATATCGTAGTAGTCTCACTTCAGTTAAAACTGAAAGCACTGGATGGAAAAAAGTAGAAATCCATGAGAAAAAGTATACACTCAAAAGTTAGAATAACATTTTGTTAGAGTGTTTCTTGAACAACGGCAAAAGATGCTGGAAACTATCAAGCCCTTTTGTGCACAAGAAATTCTTTGTAACAACGTCTTTCTCTTTTTGTCATTTTTGTTACATCGAAGAAGGAGTCTGACCATCTTTGGTGTACTCATTGCGGTCTGCTGCAGACCAAATAGTACAGGTTCCGATCAAACATGTTTCTACAGTTAGTCAATACGAAGAGTGGAAAACCAGTTTCATTTTCCCTTGTTTCGAAAGCTTGTGAAGTCCGTTATGAAGGGGGTTCCGTTCTAGTAATGAAAGAATATGTTCTTTCTAAACTGTTTTCAACGTGGCCAATTTGGGCATTCTGTCATTCTTCGAACATTGCAAATTAAAGACGATCTATGCTATGAAAAACGGCCTCTTCATTGTAAGATTCGATTTATCTTACTCCGTTTTCTAATCTTCTTTAGACTCCTACCTAAAATCATAGCGAACTTTTTCACTTTGTACATAACCGCAATATCGCTTTTCTCAAGACGCAGCTGGAAACCATTTTCTATTATCTGAGTAACTTTACGATGTTTGAGTTTTCAAATCAAGAACATGACTTTTTTCATCAGAAAAAAACGATTTCGCTCGGAGAGAAATCGAACTCAATGAATTATTGACGATGCCTACTTTTAAATACTGATTGGTTGCATTTATGTAGGAAAAATTGAGAATGAGAATTTGTTTAATAAGATAAAACGGATGTTACTCGTGCCGACTAAGGGACACTAAACGAACTGTTATGCACACGACAAAGACACATCAGACGCGAATTAATCCTGCGTCTTAATCCTATGTACTTGGAGACGGCTTTCCACTATCAGACAACTAAGGCTGCAGCCGTTCTTTCGTTGAAACCTGTGAATGAATTAAGTTCTAACTGGATACAGCTTAAAGCTATACTCATTAGTCAGCTAAGTTAATTCCTAGAAGAATGCAGGTAGAGGTGGATGTAGCAATTTTATTCAGTGTACTGCAATTAGAAAAAGGTGTACCCATAGATGTGTAAGAGTTATGTGTTCACAAGCGAATCAAACTGGCATGTTTTTTCTAGATGTAACTTATTAACTGTTCCGTGCAAAAATGCAGGATGTTTCTGGCACATCCAGCGATGCATGTCTGGGTGCATAATGGAAATTAAAGTGATGTGCAAGTTCAGTGCGTTTCGGGCACGCTTTGTTCTTTTACGATGTGGCGCGTAAGACTTTCTGAAATTCTAGATAAACGTCCTTTATGGCTCACTGATGAGGTGTAGCTGTTTGTTGTCGTCCTGTTGCCTGAGTTTGAATGATGACAGTAGCCGTTGGCTGACCCGTTTGCGGCTGTTGAGTTTGCTCTCTAACAGTTGCTATATTCGAAGCACTGGCAAGTTTTTGAGAGGTCATTTGTCCTGCTGGTTGAGATGTTTGTTGCGGTCGTGCTGTTGACATAGTAGCGCCAGCCAGTCGGGTTGCTGCACTACTAGGTCGAATAGTTGTTTCTGATCGAGCATTGTTAATTGAGATAATTAATAACAAGGCGAGAGTAGCAACAGCTTGTGAGATCATCATTTCTTACTTGTGTTCTGGACGAAAAAAATGAACAAGTAGGTGCTCTTTGCTCTGTTGCTCTCAGTTTTCATGTACTTAAATTTCGTATTAATGAAAAGTAAACAAGAAAAGTACCATTGCCTAGAGACGAACAATAAAACACAAGTGTCATTGTTTTGTGTTAATAATAATATACAATAAAGTCATCTACAACAACAAACGAAAGTACAATGTCATCCGCACTCTCTTATTTTGCTAGCGGAATAATAGTATTAACTAAAAGATGAGACTCTTTTTCTTATATTTCAGTAAATAAGATGGAAATAAGAACAACTATTTTGTGTATTAATCGCGAGAGCAAATATTTTCACAAGACGTGCAACAGGGCGTCAACGATTCCACTTGTGTATCGACATGTTTCTTTTCGACGTTTTCTGCGAATCCCGTATTATCACTCATAGTTAAAATAATATTTCCTGTATTACTTGAATTTTGTGCAGATTATTCAAAAGTTTCAATTGTTTGATGTTGTTGTTTCAATATTTCTTCTATGTTTATTCCATCCATGTAATCTTACAGAAAAATGTTCATTTTATAAAATTTTGCAAATGATTTCTTATGCAATAAACTCTCCCAAGCGAAATTAGAATGACATTCTAATTTTTGTTGAATATACCTCGGATCAATAAATGTATATTTTTTACGAAGTGTAACACTTGAATGTTCAATAAAATTTGTATAAACTGTAAGTTAAGTTATTTAAAATTTTTTAAACTATATTCTTTTTCATTTAATATAGTTGGTGTTTCTTGAAGATTAGGAAAATTTCTATAACAAACAGGATCGAAAGGTAAAACAACAAAAATCAGTTTGAAGTGAACGCGTCATAATAAAAATGGTTTTAGACAACAAATTGTTTGAATTAAATTCATTCACTCTTGTATGATCAACACATTGAATAAGAACAATAAAGTTTTTATGTTTAAATACTTTTTAATATTTAAATACAATAGTTGAATCAAGTAACGGGTGTGGCAGAGAAAATGAGAGTTTTTGTTTTTGCTATAACTCGGTCAGTTTTGATCCGATCGGTCCAAACTTTTTTTAAAAGTTACACTGCGAAATACTCTACAGAATCATACCTAAACTATAATTTCAGAACTTCAGACAAGAAAACTAAGCTAATTAGATGAAAGTCGAAAAAAAAGTAAACGTTCTAAACTCAAAAATTATTTCTTGTGTTAACGTTTTGAAAGTAAGAAAAACTGAATTAGTCATTTTGTAGCCCTAACTTCGCTCTATCTTTTAGCTACGCTTCAGACCTTTTCACATCAAAAGCTACAGCGAAATAAGAGTTTTTCTATTGGTTGTTATGCATTTTTTTATTAATTTTTTAAATTTTGGGTATAGTAGTGCTTTCAGTAAGTGCCCCATAACTCCATCAAAATGGAAGCTTTTTCGGTCGGGTTTGCATTGTTTTGATCAGAAATGATTGCTCTTCTGTATCTAACTGCAAGATCAAACGTCAATCGTTAACCTCTCAGAAACGAGGAGGTTGTTAACTTTTGATGTATTTTTGTAACTTCGTTCTCGAGCACACCGTCTGTTCTAAAAAAACCTTTTTACAGACGACGAGAAAGACCACATTAGAAAGTACCAAACTGAGTTCTCCCTTTTGGTACACTTTTTAGTGAAAATAGTAGCAGAAGAAAAAGCTCAAGTCGAAAAAAATTTTGAGTTTAGAAAGTTTACATTTTTTTTCGACTTTCATCTAATTGGCTTAGTTTTATTGACTGAAGTTTTGACCGATCGGATCAAAACTGACATTTGTAATCATTGGAAGCTTTACCAAATGGACGATAGAAAATTACCATATTGATCAGCATCTTTCATACTAGATGCAATGTAAAACTCGTCATACTGTTCTTCTAAACAATGTAAACAACTTAAAATAATTAATATAATTTCGAAATTCACACCATGTGAATTTTTTATTGCTCCGTCACCCTAGACAAAAAATTTTCTGCAATTCCGATAAGAATCTTACCTGATTCTTATCAAATTCTTATATAAGATTACGCAGGAAAGTGAATGGAGTTTGATAAGAGTCTTATAAGAATCTGATAAGAATGTCATAAGAATTTCATAAGAAAGTGATAAGAAGTTCTTATCTATTTTTTATAGACGTGTTACAAAACGCTTATTCCTACCGAATTTTGATAAGAAGTTTCTGACATACTTTGTCCTTGCAAGACTTTTCAGAAGAGTTAATTTTAAATTATTCTGGACAACGAGTAATTTAACGATTCCGTTTCACTCAGCGAA